GGGACGTCTCAGGACGTTAGTCGTCTCCTTCAATTCTACTCGTTGGTTGGCAGGTGATGCATTCTGTCATTCCAAACTGGAAAGAGAGACAGGTTACCTACTGCTTAAGAAATCACTCTCCATGATAAGTACAATACCTAAAAGACGTGGTGATTATTAAGACATTTAACAGAGCAAGACTGAAAGGACTAAGTATATTATTGGTCAAAAGTGAAGCTTTCAACCAATAAGTCCACTAGAATATGAGCAGGAATGTACTTACAGTAGAGCTGGGAGCTGTGAGTCGAGTGATTACTGTTTGGCCGGAGCCCCACACGTCACCTTTCGGGGGGGGGAAAGAGGGAGGGGAAGGGATAGCGGGAGCTAGACTGACCCTACCTTAACAAGCAGCCAGCAATCAAACTATCACTTTCGAGGAGGGGGAAAAAGGGGAGGAATAGTGGGAGCTGGACTTACCCTACCTTAACAAGTAGCCGGCAATGAAACTATTGTTACTATATACTCCCTCGCTACTCCTATCTATTGAACTTTTCCCTCACAACTGCTTACACAAACCTCCTCAATGCCTCCCTTGCCTCTGGATACTTCCCTTCCCTCTTCAAAGCTGCCGCTGCTATCCTCCTTCCTAAACCCAATAAAGTCCACTCTGACCCTAGAAACTATCGCCCTATCAGCCTCCTCGAAACTTTAGGAAAACTCTTTGAAAAACTCATCAATCATCGCCTTCGCAGATACCTGGAACACAATTCTCTACTTTCTGATGGCCAGTTTGGCTTCAGAACACACAGATCCACACAGAATACCATTAACATAATTCTCAACTACATCCACATCAACACAAAACAAAGAAACAGGATAGCTGGTTGCAAAAGACGTTAAAAAGCCTTTGACACTGTCTGGCATGAAGGGCTCAAGTACAAACTCTGCACTAACTTCATCCTGCCTCTCAATACTCGTAAACTCCTCTGCAACTTCCTAGACGGCAGTAATATGAGAATCAAATTCCAAGGCTGTTACTCTGACTACTTCACACTAAATGCTGGAGTACCCCAGGGATCTGTCCTCTCCCCTACCCTCTACATTTTATGCACTAACGACATTCCAACACCTGTATACCACAACTCCATCACACTAGCCTATGCAGACGACATTACACAACTTATCACTCATGCCAGTATAGATACACTCACACACAAAACACAAAATGAAGTCGACAGGATAGCCATCTGGGAACAAAAATGGAGGATCAAAACAAATGCAGCTAAATCCAGCATTACGTATTTTAACTACAGGAAATGAGATCCTCCCTTACCTGTCGAGCTCAGAACAGCTGACACCCGCACTTACATCCCCATCACACAATCTGTCACTGTCCTTGGTGTTAATCTTGACTACATTCATCGTTTACACGGACACATTCACTCAAGGCATGCAATAGCTAGTAAGGCCCTTGCGGGCCTCTACAAGCTGAAACATGCCTCTCAACGCACCAAACTACACCTCTACAAATCCCTAATACGTCCTCTGATAACTTACTCTCCTCTAGCCCTCTCTCTTGCAGCAAAAACAAACTTACTTAAACTGCAGCATGTCCAGAACAAGGCGCTGTGCTGGGTGCTTGATGTCAGATGGGAGGACTTCGCCACAAGCGAGTTTCTTCATGCTGAATCTGTAATGGAAGACGCTCAGTGACAGACAGATAGACAAACTTGAGACACGACATGACTACTGGACCTCTCTCCTTGACGAAGACATTCGCAGACCCACAAACCAACACAACCTTTTCTACTCCTTTCATGATCCTGCTCCTAACCCTATTTACAAATAACCTTGGATTCGCTGACAGGTACCTTCTATGACAGGTACCATTCTCTGACCCACGTTTGCCTTAGCTTTTGGGTTAGGACATGGCTCAGTTCTACACTTCTCTCTAGCTCTAAACGTCGCATGTCCCTTCCTCCAGCTCACCCCACCGGAGTCCCAACAGAAGAGGCTGAATTTCTCTTCTCAATATCTGTCACACGATCGCCTTCGCTGCTGGGTTAAGCCCTGGCTCTATTTCTACGACTAAGAACACTCCTCTCCAGCACTATTCTTCGTCTGTCCCGTCTTCCCCGCTCATCCCATTTGGGATCTTACCTGAACTTTCGTTCGTTCGTTCGTTCACCCCAGGTAGATCTGTTTGTAGATAAATGGCTCACAGAACCGACAGATCTGTTTGTGACTTGAAAAAGCCCACTGTGGGCGAAACGTTGTCAATAAAGGATCACATTATACCGCATATGTGTTTATATTTTCACATGATGGTACAGATGTACTAGAGTTTATGCACTGCCTGGAGAACATTTCCAGGTGGTTAGGAATGGATACATCAATGTGCTGGGTTTGGGCACATATCGATAAGCATAAGGCAACATCTCCTTGACCTTGTCTGCTTTACTGCATGAGGTGTTGCAAGGAATTCTAGTAAAATTTTCCGGAATCCTGACATCCACAAATGTCTCAACGATGACAATCATCTCAGGACGAAGCGTGGACGCGAAACTGTGCATGAGCTCACACACATTGACAATAAAGAATCTGATGCTGGCAAACATGATGCCGATCGACTGCCTCTTCATGTTTGAGTTCAGCTTGAATAAATAGGTGTGTAAGGTTTGTCCGTGAAACATATTGGTCACTGGGACAGCCATGGGATGTAGCTGTGTGGTCTTATATAAGTTGTGAAACCATGTGATGAAATGAGATGAGATAGTTGGGTGGGTAACGTGTAAGACTGTTCACCAGCTCTGAGATCCTGAGGTTTGTACCAAAAATCCACTTTACACACATCCACCCGCACACCTTAACAAGAATGCCATATTGGGATGAGTACGTGTAGACGATGAGATCATGTGATTCTGATGTTGCTGGGTCTGCCCCATCCCCAGTTGTGTCTGCTGCTGTTTCAGCTGCTGCAGGTGTGCCTACTGTAGTTTCTTCTGCTGCTTCTACTGAGCCGGTATTTTTTGCTGCCAACACTGTTGTTGCCATTTTCACTGGCAGTGGCAGCCACTTACGCCACCGCCGCCGCTTTTGCTGCCGCCTTCGCCGCCACCGCTGCTGCTTCTGCTGTTGCTGCCACTGCCGTTGTTGCTGCTGCTTCTGCTGCCGCTGGTGCTACTTCTGCCACTGCTGGTGCTGCTACTTCTGCTTCTATTGCTCCTGTAGCTTCTGCTGTTACTTCAGCAGCTACTGCTGTTGTTTCAGCTGCTTCTGCTTCTGTTTTTGCTGCATCTTTTGCTGTTGCTGTATCAGCTGCTGTTGCTTCTGCTGCTGTTATTGTTTCTTCTGCTGCTCTTGCTGCTGGTGCCACCACCACCACTGCTACTGCTGCAGTTGCTTTGTTTCTGCTTCCTGTATTGTTGTTGCTGCTGGAGGGAGGAGAGAGGGAGGCACGCCATTGCTATTGCTGCTGGAGAGAGGGAGGTATACCATTATTGTTGCTTCTGGAGGGAGGAGTGAGAGAGGTATACCATTGTTATTGCAGCTGGAGGGAGGAGGGAGGGAGGTATACCATTGTTGTTGCAGCTGGAGGGAGGTATCCATTGTTGTTGCTGCTGGAGGGAGGAGGGATGTATACCATTGTTGTTGCTGCTGGAGGAAGGAGAGAGAGAGACATACCATTGTTGTTGCTGCTGGAGGGAGGGGAGAGGGAGGTATACCATTATTGTTGCTGCTGCAGGGAGCTGAGAGTGAGGTATACCATTATTGTTGCTGCTGGAGGGAGGGGAGAGGGAGGTATACCATTATTGTAGCTGCTGGAGGGAGGGGAGAGGGTGGTATACCATTGTTGTTGCTGCTGGAGGGAGGAGAGAAGTAGGTATACCATTTTTGTTGCTGCAGGAGGGAGGAGGGATGGAGGAATACCATTGTTGTTGCTGCTGGAGGGAGGGGGGAGGGAAGGAGGTAACATAATTTCTTGTGTAAGAGCTGGATGTAGGGACCATAATTTTTGGAAGGAGCTGGCTGTAGGGACCATAATTACTGGTGCAAGAGCTGGCTGTAGGGACCATAATTACTGGTGCAAGAACTGGCTTAGGGAACATAATTACTGGTGTAAGAGCTGGCTGTAGGGACCATAATTACTGGTGTAAGAGATGGATGTAGGGACCATAATTACTGGTGCAAGAGCTGGCTGTAGGGACCATAATTACTGGTGTAAGAGATGGATGTAGCGACCATAATTACTGGTGTAAGAGCTGGATGTAGGGACCATTATTACTGGCGTAAGAGCTAAATGTTGGGATCATAATTACTGGTGAAAGAGATAGATGTAGGGACCATAATTACTGGTGTAAGAGCTGGCTGTAGGGACCATAATTACTGGTGTAAGAGATGGATGTAGGGATCATAATTTCTGGTGCAAGAGCTGGCTGTAGGGACTATAATTACTGGTGTAAGAGCTTGATGTAGGGACCATAATTACTGGTGCAACAGATGGATGTAGGGACAATAATTATTGTTGTAAGAGCTACATGTAGGGACCATAATTACTGGTGCAAGAGCTGGATGTAGAGACCATAATTTTTGGTGCAAGAGCTGGATGTAGGACCATAATTACTGGTGCAATAGCTGGATGTAGGGACCATAAATAATGGTGCAGTAGCTGGATGAAGGGACCATAATTACTGCTGCAAAAACTGGTTGTAGGGACCATAATTACTGGTGCAAGAGCTCGATGTAGGGATCATAATTACTGGTGCAATAGCTGGCTGTAGGGACCATAATTTCTGGTATAGGGACCATAATCCCTGGAACCATTAACAGATATAATGTTGAATTGTTTACTATATGAAAGTAAAAGTTTGGTTGGTATAAGTAACACTTGACAACCCACCTAAAAGTGTATATAGAAGAGAAAAGTGTGAGAATTATAATACACTTTCTGAAGAATAATGCACCTTAAAAAAACGAAAAACTTTATGATCAGTAGAAGTAGAATGATATATATTTTCCAGATGTTAGAAGTAATGTGTCAACATACCTCAAGTGTCCGCTATGAAAGAGTTGGCAGAAACAGCTTCTATTCTGTGGATGGAGAGTTTGACAAACCTTACTACATTGGTGGTGGCAAGACTTGCATACTTGGATTCTTTGCTTCACTGAAACCCGCTGCCTGGAAAGATGGATCTCTCTTGCTCAATGTTGATCGTGAGTATTATGTTTTGGAAATTTATCCATTATTTTTCTTTTACACATAATGTTTTAAACCATGAACTTTCTCATGCAGGGAATTTACAGACTTTTGACTCAACTTTGTAACTCCTGTGCAAAGTTCATTGTCAATTATAACTGTAGTTACGTTATTGAAAATGGCTTCTAATAAAAGTCGGAGTAAAGGGAATGGAGGAATTTATGGGAAAAATAACATTACGTGAATCAGACCCCTAAAAATTGCATTTTTTTTATTTAGGTCTCAAAATCATAAAAAACGATATGATAATGCAATTGTAGTTTCATGTAGAAGTGTGTTATGTTTAATACAATGCTTATTGCTACAAAGGTATCATAACATTATTTACCATAAATTCTGGTTTCTGTTGAAAGGAGTGAAAATATATGACGTGGCCTTAATTAATGTAGATCATTGATAAGATACATGTGTATAAGTTAGGTATTTTTATTTCGAAACATTTTGCCTACACAGTAGGTTTTTTCAGTAGAATACAGCGGAAACAGGAACTATATAATCAATCCATCACCCTGAAAGGCTTATTAGACTGAAGAAGCCAAATGTGTAGGCAAAATGTTTCAGTTTAAAAATAATTAACTGTTGCACATGTCTTAATTATCAGGTTGTATATTCAGGCGTGCTGGGTGAGCGCCGCACACCCACCAACGATGGTAAATTCATTATAAATATTACCTCACTCAATAATATAATCATGGATCATAATGGAGATCTAATTTTTCTGCCCCTTATGAAATATTGTGGCAGTTGTTCTAAGATAGCATTGCACACTCCATATTTAGTTGCATCATCATATTGCACTGGGCAGATGGCGGGATAATGGGAGTGACAAAAATATGGGCAGGTGGGGGAGCGACATTCCACCAGCACACATGCTGTGTTCTTTTTCGTGGTAAGAAACTGTATGTATACATTCGTTGAGAATTCGTTAACTGCAACTGAGTTTCTTGATAATAATTCTGTTCTTGCACACTCAGAAACAAAGATTAAATCATCGAATGGGTTCGAATCTGGGTTTCTGTTACGTAACAATATAGGTTTTTTAACAGTACTAGAAAGTTTGTTAATATGGTGTTCAGTGTATGATTGGTTCTTGTATCTTATGCATTTTTATGCAGATTTTCACTAAGGCAACAATGTTAAAGATGTACAGAAAGCATTTTCTCTAGATTTATGGGAGAAACTGTAAAACTGAGAAGGGTGATAGGCCTAAGGCAGCACTACAAAATTTGGTGTGTACATATAAAGACAAAAGAAGTGAACATACCAGATATTTCTCGGCAGCGCAGTATGAAAATACAGAGTAGCTAACAGGGTGCGAGGTACTGTTGAAACTTTTCTGCTGGCCCTGTTTACTGTTGTCCAGAGAGAGTGAGGAGTGGAATATACAGGGTTACCTTGGTCTTAACTCTTTGCTAGCACACTTATCTCAAATACTGAGATTCAGCAGTCGATCCCCGGTACAGGTGGAAACATTAGGACATGTTTTCTTGAGACACCTGGTCTTCATGTTCACCTATCAGTAAAATAGGTACCTCGGTGTTAGTCGACTGGTGTGGGTGACATAATGGGACAAAATTGACCTAATTTGCCCGAAATACACTGCGTAATAAGGGGCTCTCTATATGGAAAACTGGAGGAAATAATAACTGGAACAGAGTATAAAACAAATTCCAGCAGCGCAGTAGAGCAGAAAACTAATATGAAGGATCTGCGAGTGATAACTTCAGAGAATCTCATTTTCAAAGATCACAACAATGTATCTACACATCTACTAAGAAAATCATAGGAAGGATAAGGAGAACCTTGAAAACTAGGAATGCCAAGCCAATGATGATTCTCTTCAAATTGCTTATTCTCTCTAGGCTACACTATTGCTGTACACTAACAGCCCCTCTCAGGCAGGTGAAATTGCAGAGCTTGAGAATATACCGAGAACTTACATGGCACGGCACGTATAAATACAATAAAGTGCCTAATTTACTGGGAACAGTTGAAGTCCCTTGACCTGTACACCTTGGAATGCAGGTGAGAAATATACATGATAATATACACTTGGAAAATCCTAGAGGGACTAGTCCAAAATCTGCACAGGAAATCACTCCCTAAGAAAGCAAAAAAAAAAATCGGCAGGTGGTACAACATCCCCTAATAAAAAGCAGGGTATGCCAAGAAACAACACAGTAAATGTCAGGGGCCCAAGACTGTTCAACTGCCTTCCAGCATACATAAGGGGGGATTACCCATAGACCACTGATTTACAAGACGTTTTCAGCAGATATGGAACTGTGCGTGTGGTGACTGTTGGGAAGTGGATGGAGGGCGCATATGCCAGCCTCCTTGAAGGTACCTTCTCACTGAAGATGACTTTGAAGCACCCCATCCCATTGTACGTAGTGATGAGTGACATTCGTATGCAAGTGATGGTTTCCTTCGTGGGGCAGCGCCGCACTTGTCGCCTTTGTGGGGCAACCACATTGTGCCGCAATGTGGTCGCCAAAAGTAGAAGCAGGATGTGGGGCGTCATCCAATGGCAGAGCCCATCCAGGAGGTGACAGTTGTGCCTGAGTCAGGTGCACGTCCGAAGACGCCATTGTGGAGTGAAGAGGTGGAGCAGGAGGAGCTCCTTGAGGGGTCTTGTGCGACTCTACTTGGGGAATCTTCCTCAGTTTGCCCGGTTATGCTGGATGTAGAGAGGCGGGACGCCCATGGAGGAGAGAGTGGTGGAGGACACATTAGCGACTGTGCTGCAGGGATTGTTGGGAATGCCTGGTGTGGCAGACGAGGAGAGGCTTGGAGAGACCCTCGGGAACATGTCTTGTATGAGGTCACAGGATGTGGTGGAGCTGGTTGAGGAGAGGCCGCTGTGGAGGCAGTGGTTCATAATAGAAGGCCCTCTGGAGGGTGGCTATGGAGGTGGAGGTGGATCATGCAAACGAGCGGCGGTGCTGTCGGACTCTGATGCTGTCCTCACCCCGGTGCAGAGGCCTGGCAAGAAGGTGTGGGCAGAGGTGGCATGGGGCGCCCCTAATGGGCCCAGGGGCCCGGTGGTGGCTGAAGGAGGTCCTCAGTGTCTGGTAGTGAACATGGTGACAGACGCCGGCAGGCGTCTAGTGGCGAGTCAGTGCCGAAGGGGAACAAGGTATGGCAAGCTTGAAGTGTGTCTCAGTGAATGTAAATGGGTTGCAAAACAGAGTGAAGTGTATGCAGTTTTTGGATTTTCTCTGTAGGTATAGGGTGGATGTGGCTTTTGTGCAAGAGCACAATTACAAAGCCGGGTGTGAGTTGGTACTGGATGGTTTCCAGGTGTTTGTAGCACATTCAACTTGATTGAAAGGGGGCGGGGTTGCCATCCTTCTGTGAAAGACCAGCCCATTTGTTGTATACCGTGGTGAGGTGGGGGGGAGGGGCATGTTGTGTGAATAGATGGGCTGTGCATGGGGGAGAGGGTGGCGCTAGTGTGCATCTATGGGCCAGCAGAGTGGATGGGATTGTCAAGGATTCTTTTGTGAGGGATGTATTGGTGAATTACCTTCGGTCGCTTCCCCCCATTTGCTGGGGGTGACTGGAATTGTGTGGTGTGCAGAAAAGATGTGGAGCTTCGAGGGGCAGGGTTTTGCTCTGTTGTGCTAGGGGATCTTTTTTGGGGGGTGGGGTTGTGGGATGTGGGGTAGTGGGATGTGGCTAAGGGTGAAGCGAGGGGGTGGAGGACATGTTTGTTCGGGGAGGGTATGCCGCTCAATTGGACTGACTGCACATAAAGCAGACTGCACGGGTAGAGAGGGTGTGTGTGGTGGAGGTAGCATATTCAAATCATCAGGCAGTTTTCGTGGAATTGGGGTGGGTTGGGTTGCCAAGGAGGCATCAGAGTTTTTGGAAATTGAACGTTAGCTCCTTGCAGACGCAGAGGGGAGGGAGAGATTTGTGGGAATGTGGAAGGAGTTGTGGTCAGGGGTGGAGGCTGTTGGGCATTTGTTGGTGTGGTGGGATGGAGTGGCAAAGAGGAGGATTCGGATGTATTATGTTCGACAGGGCAAAGGGGAGGCTCAGATGACTTTTGGGCTTATACGGTATTTAGAGGGATGGTTGATGGATTGTTATGGGGGAGCGGTGGGGGTGGGGGCTATCCTGAGTAGGAAGTAGAGGGGCTGAAGCAATGCATCAAGGAATTGCAGAATGAGAGGTTTAATGCACTGTGGATGAAGGGTGGGTTAGAGGAGGTGTTGTGGGGTGACAGCCCATCGGCGTGTGTTCTACAGGGGCAGTGGCAGTGTCAGGCGGCCACAGAGATGGAATGTTTGTTAATGCAGGCAGAGGTCAGAGGACATCATTTGGGGCAGGTGCTTCGTACGACGGAAGGGATGGGTCGTTATATGGATGAATGGTTTGGGACTTATTTGAGGAGTGTTGGTGTGAATGAGGGGTGTTAGGGTGGTTGGGAGGGCAGGTGGCCAGTGTTCTGGGTAGGGGGATTATATGGCGCTGGGAGGGGACATTGAAGAAGGGGAGGTGTGGGGGGCATTATCGAGTATGAGTAGGGGCAAAGCCCCGGGGGTCGACGGTCTGCCATGTGAGTTCTATTTATAGAATTGTTGCGTACTCAAGTGGTTCATGGTGAAGCTGTTGAGTGAGATGATAGGAAGGGGTGAGTTGGGGGTTTTGCAGGCAATGGCAGTGGCGGTCTTGGTCTCGAAGATGGCCATTCCATGCACGGTGAGGGACTATAGGGTTATTTCTTTGTTGTGTGTGGATTGTAAGTTATTCACTAAAATATTAGGGAACAGGTTGAAGTTTGTGATTGATAGGGTAGTTGCAGCAGGACAGTATGGGGTGCTGGGGAGGACTATGTACAATGGGCATTGGGTGATTTGGAGGTTTGTGGAGAGTGTGCAGGGAGCGGGGAAGGGGGGGTGTTGGCCTTGGATTGGAGGGCAGTGTATGATAGTGTTGAGAGGGAGGCATTATGGTAGATAATGAGGAGGCAAGGATTTGAGGATGAGATTGTGAGGTGGGTGCAGACATTGTACCATGAGGTGGGTGTCAAGG